GAGTCATTGACTGTGGTATCCAACTAAGGTTGAAGTTATCGCTATCATCACAACTGTAAGTTACAGAGATCACACTATCAATGCTTAGATTGGACACACAGAACAGGTATGCTTGGCTGGTGGAGGCGGCGTGGCTCGGCCCGCCACTCTTAATGCAACAAGTAGAAGTCACTGTATATAGAGCGATGGGACACCACGTCACACAAAAGTCCGCTTTATTATTATACGCTTCTAAGTCTACTGTATGTGATTGTGTAGTTACAAGTCACCTACCTGCAGTAAAATGCAGACAGGAAGTTGGCAAGTGGACAATTGAAACCGAATCTTCCTTTAGGGCTAAAGCTACATATAAAAGGATTTCAAGACTGAAATACTCTACAAAAAACACTTTTTTATGGTTTTCTATAAACATTAAGAAAAATATTTTCTTAATGGTTTGCATTCTCCTTAAATGACTATGTGGAGGGGACATTACACTGTAAGCTCCTCTGGGACATGGTGACAGATGTGAAGAACTCTGTGTTCTCTGTACAAACACTGTGCAATATCTTAGTGATATATACATGAATAAAACAAAGTCTGTAGGATAGTGCTGGTAACTTTCTGCATGAATACACTCATACAATTAATCTCATAGAAATGAGTGGAAGTATATTTCCATATAAACAAAAAGAAAAATGGTCAATACAAGCTCCTTAAAGCGGAGTTGCACTCACCCTGTCAAAAAATAAAAGTCAGCAGCTACAAAAACTGGACTTTTAAAAAACACACACTCACCTGGCCCTCGGTCCTGTGGTGTGTCCCCCGCAGCCCGTTCCACCGGCCGTCCTGTGTTCCAGGCGCCGGCATCTTCAATGTGGGCACCTGGGTGTTTGCGGCTTCACAGCCGGGTACCCACTGCGCATGCGCGAGTAGCGCTGCGCTTCATGAATGGTCCTGTCATGTGTCCCAAAAGACTACAGGGAGGGAGGACACCTTGTGCTTCTGGTCACCTAGGTGATCGGACCAAAAGTGGGAGTGGGTACCTGTAAAATTCAGGTACCCGCTCCCCCGCCCCCCAAAGGTGCCAATCCTTAATGGGGAGTGGGGGAGCAGTCCTTAAAGTGGAACTTCCCCTTTTGGGTGGAGCTCTACTTTAAAACTGAGTTCTGAAATGTTTATTTAAAAACGTTTATTTAAAGATGTCTCTCATATTGATAGGATATAAATGCCTTTGAAAACCCAGATATGGTTCAGAGAGCAGAGCTGTGGGAGGGACCCAGCAGCTCCACCCACTGCAGGCTGCCTACAGAAAACTACAGGAGGAGGCGGAGACGAGACCGGTCACCTTGCACAAGGAGGGAGAGCAGCAGTGACTGGTCTTTACTACAGGAAGCTCCTGCACAGAGGTAAAGTCTCACATTGGATTATTGTATATATCTGGAAGAAATACACAAAGCACACCCAGATTCAAATAAGAATACACATGACTATGATATTTAGTATAACAGGGAACATTTACATGGAGGTAAAATACAGGAGTTGTCATCTTATTTACTGATGGCCACCTCCCTGTTGCTAAAAAGGAAAGCGGCAGGGTGCAGGGGTATCACATCACCATTCTTCCGTCATGGTCCTCGGGAATGCCAAGTACACAAAATTTCATGAGATAACATTTTAAAGCATTGCAATATCATCTTCTTGTGAAATGCTGTACTAGAGTGCGTGTCCAACAGCAGGGTGTGTGGAGTATACTATACCTGGCCGATATCCTGGGAAGCTGGAAATCACTGAATTAGACACCACTGCTCCAGTGATTTCCACTCACTTCCAGTCCTGTGCTCATTGGCAAGCCTGCTGCATTGTGAACACAGGAGGTCAGCTGCTCACAATGGTCACCATTCAGACAATGCTTTTCTTTGTCTGAATGAATGCAAATCACTCTCTGATTAGACAAAGTGTCACTGCCCCATCTCTCCACCTTGTCCAGTCAGAGAGTCCTTTGCATTCGTTAAGAAAATGCAAAACATCCTCTGAATGGAGCCCTTACTGAGTGGTCAACCACCTGTGTTCACAGTGCATCAGGCTGGCCTCTCAGCATGCGACCCAGAAGCAAGTAGAGATCAGTGAAGAAACTGTATATATTCAGAGGATTCCAGCTTCCAGGGACATTGGCCAGGTATGGTATATGCATAGCTGGACCAAAGTATGTAAAACATACCATGCCTGGAATTCTACTTTAGTTTTATTACTTTTAGTCTTTTTTACAAAAAAACCTCCTAGCTCCTAAACTAAGGGTCTCCAAACTTTCTAAGCAAAGGGCCACTTTACTGTCCTTCAGACTTTAGGGGGGCTGGACTGTACTCAGTGGAAGTAAACAATGCCCCATCTTTGGTTTTAGGGGGATCAATAGTTGGTATCAGTGGGAGGAACAGTGCCCCATCCTTGATGTCAGTGAAAGCAATAGAGCCCCATCCTCGGTGTCAGTGAAAGGAATAGTGCCCCATGCTTGGTATCAGTGAAAGGAATAGTGCCCCATCCTTGGTGTCAGCAAAAGGAACAGTGCCATATCCTTGGTGTCAGTGGGAGGAATAGTGCCCCGTCCTTGGTGTCAGTGGGAGGAATAGTGCCCCATTCTTGGTGTCAGTGGGAGGAATAGTGCCCCATCTTTGATGTCAGTGAAAGAAATAGTGCCCCATCATTGGTGTCAATGGGATGAATAGTGCCCCATCATTGTTCAGTGGGATGAATAGTGCCCCATTGTTGATGTCAGTGAAAGGGATTATGCCCCATTGTTGGTGTCAGTGGCAGGAATAATGCCTCAAGGGCTGAGATAAAGGCAAGCAAAGGGACGCAGTTTGGAGACCACTAGCCTAAACCTATACAGCCTATCACATGCTTAAGTGCTTACTTTCTCCTCCGACAGTGGCCTCCTGCATTGTCTGCTGCCCAGTCAGGAAAGATCTAGTGACAGGTTACTTATGCCTGTGCAGAAAGATCCCAAAGACTTGAACAAGACATACCTGTACTGCAATGTCCCATTCATGTCTGTAAGAAATTAGTGTGCAGGAGTGGGCAGCCTAGCACTAGACGATGTAGAAGGCCACAGCCTCAGCCGGTAAGCATGGACATCGTGGGAGGAATAGCCAGGCTGTATTTGTTCAGGGGTATGACAGACCCAACTGGGAGAGGGGCTTTTTGGAGGGGATTAAGGCTAGCCTTCTACCCACTGATTAGGTAAGAGTACAATACAGCTAACAGTGATCAAATTAATAGGTAATCAACAGCCAAGCATCCAGACAAGCTAGGGAGCCCACCCCAGACCAGACAGTCCGGCACCTGCAACCCTGAATACACAAAGTCCATTACACATTCTGTCTTTCAGGTTGTTTGCTTTCACTTGTATAATCTATCTATCATAAGACAAAACTCTTCTTAGATTTCTTGAGGAAGATTCTTGATAAATATTTCTGTTCCAAGTGGAGGAGCTTCTCCAACCCAGTCCGCAGGAGGGCCCCATATTTCCTCTGACCCTTAACCTGTATTAGATGAATATTACACCTTTCCATCCACTCCAGAAGGGAAGCTGTATTGTCTTTACTTGGAGAATTAATCCAAGCCTCACTCATCGTTCATCAGGCTATTGTCCATCATTAGAGAATGATCTGCTCTCTCCATGGGCCATAGTCGGTGGGTAGAAGACTAGCCCCTAGTCCCCTCCAAGAGCCTGTGTCCCGGTTGGGTCTGTCACAAGGGGGCTAGAGATAGTTTTATATAAAAACTGAATTTGTACTTTAAGTTGCATCTCCTAAATAAAGGTCAAGCCATGTATACTGATTAAGTCCCTTAACAATGTGATCCACCCATTTTGCTGTAAAATAAAATATCTAAACAGAACCTGGACAGATTTCACTCATCTCTGAATGGTCTCCATTTCCTTTTAAAAAACAGGTGTAGTTCAGGCCAGCATTCAGATAGAATGCCACACATAAAAATAGGAACAACTGGAGCTTCAGGGAGCTGACTGGTATTGACAGAATCTTTTTGCTTTGCCAGGGTTAGTAGGGAATGAGTTAGAGCCTGGAAAAATACAAGACATAAAAGAAACAGGGAAAAGGGGAGAAAATAAAAGTGATGAAAAGAAAGCTTTTAGACTATAAAGAGACTGTTTTGTCACTATTCTGCATCTTTTCAGCTATCCCAAAATAAAGTGGACCTTGTATCAGATATATATTGTTATGTTAAGTGCATGCCTGCTAAGTATAGTTTAAAGCTGTAGTAACCACTTCCACGCTGCCCTATAACAGAAATACTGCTACAGGGCGGCACGGGTGTGCAAAATCACGTATATATATATATACGTGATTTTGCAGTTCCCACCATTGCGGGTCACCGGTGATTCTCTGACGGCACCCTGCGATCTCTGAGAATTACCGAAGGGGGAGAGACCTGTGTATAAACAACATCGATCTCTCCCCTGTCAGCTCCTGCACACTGCTTTGTATGGCTGTGCATAGCAGAGCCATACAAAACAGTGTGCTTACAGTGAAACATAGCAGACTTAGTAAAAAACACACAGCACACAGTTAACCCTTTGATCACCCCCACATGTTAATCCCTTCCTGCCCCGGTCGGAGATTGGAGATTGTAGGGTGCTGTCGGGAATCACCAGTGGCCCTACCCGCACCGCCATTCACGGGTCACCGGTGATTCCCCAACGGCACCCTGCGATCTCCGAGAATTACCAAAGGGGGAGAGACCTGTGTATAAACAACATCGATCTCTCCCTTGTCAGCTCCTGCACACTGCTTTGTATGGCTGTGCATAGCAGAGCCATACAAAACAGTGTGCTTACAGTGAAACATAGCAGACTTAGTAAAACACACACTGCACACAGTTAACCCTTTGATCACCCCCACATGTTAATCCCTTCCTGCCCCGGTCAGAGATCGGAGATTGCAGGGTGCTGTCGGGGAATCACCAGTGGCCCTACCCGCACCGCCATTCGCGGGTCACCGGTGATTCCCCGACGGCACCCTGCGATCTCCGAGAATTACCAAAGGGGGAGAGACCTGTGTATAAACAACATAGATCTCTCCCCTGTCAGCTTCTGCACACTGCTTTGTATGGCTCTGTATAGCAGAGCCATACAAAACAGTGTGCTTACACTGAAACATAGCAGACTTAGTAAAACACACAGCAGACAGTTAAAACTTTGATCGCCCCCACATGTTAACCCCTTCCTGCCCAGTGCCATTAGAACAGTGTCAGAGCTTTTTATTAGCACTGATCACTGTATTGGTGTCACTGGGGATGTCAGTGACACCAAGTCAGTTCCCCCCCATGTCAGAATGCTGCAGTCCTGCTATAAGTCACTGATCAACGCCATTACTAGTGAAAAAAAAAATTCCAGTATATATACCGCCATTTGTAAAAACACTATAACTATTACATTTTTTTACTGGACATGTTCAATAGCAAAAAGTAAAAATGTTGTTTTTTTTCTCAAAATTGTCAGTCTTTTTTTTTTTTTTTATAACACAAAAAATAAAAAATGCACAGGCAATCAAATACCACCAAAAGAAAGCTCTATTTGTGGGAAATAAAGGGCGTAAATTTCATTTGGGTGCAGTGTTGCATGACCGTGCAATTGTCAGTTAAAATAACACAGCGCTATGTCGCAAAAAATGGCCTGATAAGGAATGGGGGTAAATCCTCTGGAGAACCAGAGGTTAAACTTGAGTCCTCATGGACACTTGACATTTATACAGCGGCTGTTTTTGGCTTTTGAAATTTTTTTATACAGCCAGTAAACTCCCCAGCATGTTATCCTATGTGTCCATGCACACATAGACTGGAATCAACATTTTTTGTCAGGTATGTTTTTTAGCTGGAAAAAAATCCAGGACTAGTGGGTTTCTAGAAGAGTGTTTTAGCTGTAAAAATGCTCTAATGCTGAAAAATGCGGCAAAACATGGTAAACTGCGGCAAATCTACATTTTTAGTAATTTTATTGACCTAAAAAACGCAAACAGGAAAAAAACAAGAAAAAAGGACGCTAAACGCTAATGCAAAACCACTAAAAAACTCACATTTTTAACGTAACGTTACGTAGTTAACTTTACCAGCGTTATTAAAACACCCAGTGTGCATGGAGCCTTAAAATTTGAAAACAAAATCCTGACAGGCAGGGTCTTTATGGCAGGAGAGAACCTGATGGTCACTTCTGTCATAAATGCTTTTCCCCCCTTCCCACGCATGCGCAGCTCAGAATACATTATGACACCTCCTCTGCCATGGTGATGTGTGACATCATTACGTTAAATCATGGTGTGATGTCATCGCAGCCTGGCCATTTAAGCAGGCCAAACAGAGCAAACCCAGAAGAATGACCTAGTGAAGAGGAAGAAGCACCTGACAGTGCAGTGCTTGAAGTCTCCTTTTGACAGGTCAGTTAATGTGGTAGTATGCAGTGTGGTCATGGCATATCCCCCCATTGTACAGCGCTGAGCATAGGCACATCATAAATAAATAAATAAATAAATAGCTGCAGGGAGCCTGGATAAAAAGAATTTTTAACAAGCTTAACCACTTCCCAACCGGCCGTTGCATATAAACGGCCAGACGGTGGCACTGCAGGGTCGGGTGGCCATTTATAAACGGCCTCCCCGCACCCTGCTTGTGCACGCTCCCTCAGAGCGCGCAGCACCGCGATCCGGTGCCCGCTGTGTCCTCCGGACACAGTGAAACACCGATCGTCAGACGGGACCTCTGTACGAGGTCCCGATCTTGTGATCACTGATTGGCCAATCAGTAATCACATGCAAAGTAATAAGCAAGATGTCATTTGTGACATCATTGCTTACTACGTGTGAAATCTGTGAATGATCACAGAGGTCACATGGTACAAGGCTATTCACAACAGCCTTGTACCATGTGACAAGCTGTGACCAATCACAGCTCACTCAGTACTTCTCAATGAGTGCAAGAATGCACACAGAGAGAAAGAGAAATGATTGCTTTTACATCCTATATGGGTGTAAAAGCAATCAGTGTAAAAAAAAAAAAATCTTCATCACCCCCCACAAGTAGTACAGTGTCACCATGGTGACACTGTACTGCTAGGGTGACAGTATGTAAAAAAAAAAAAAAAAAAAAAAAATACAAAAAAAATAAAATAAAAATGTAAAAAAAAATGTTTAAAAATTATAATTTTTGGTTATAAACTAATTTGGATTTTTTTTTTTTTACTAAAAGATAACGGAATAAATTTGGCAAAGATTTATGATGAAATATTTTTTATTTGCAAAATTTTATAAAAAAAACACTTTTTTTCAAACTTTTTGGACTTTTTCGTTTACATAGCAAAAAAAATAAAAATCCCAGCGGTGAATAAATACCACCAAAATAAAGCTTTATCTGTCTCAAAAAAATGGTATAAAATTCATTTGGGTACAGTGTTGCATGACCGCGCAATTGTCATTCAAAGTGTGATAGCACTGAAAGCTGAAAATTGCCCTGGTCAGGAAGGGGGTAAAAGTGTCCGGTCTGGAAGTGGTTAATACCACTTTAAGTGTGATATTTGCAGGTATTATTACCTCTCATAGACAAGACAGTATTCTCCAGAAAGATGGCACTATCTTTGTTCAGGCATCATCCATGGTCAGCATCCTCTTCCTGGACCGCGATGCTGGCTCAGAGAAGACAGTCATGTAAATCTTGGCACCTGTCCAGTTCTGGACAGTTGCAAGGTGCTCACAAATGTCTGGTCCTGATGTGTCCCTGCTGTCACTTCATGACTTGCTACAAAGTTATAATATGCAGGCTATTCACTGTGGGAGAGAACATGCTTCCTACTGTCTGCCACAGACTGATGACATCATCTTAGCCTAGTTACCTTAGTTGAGATAGTGTCATCAGTCTGCTGATGACATTATCATCGTACTGGAACTCAAAGACTGACTGAAGCTAAAGGACTTCTTTTTTAATGTTTAAAGATGGAGCTTTAAAAAAAAAAAAAAAAAAAATACAGTTTTTGAATATTGTGATGTCAGAAATATATTTTTTGCACATTTGCAAAGTTCCTGAAAGGTCCAGTTTACTATTAAGAACTAGCAAGATTTGCAAAATGTTTATCTGTTTGCCATTTTTCATCCTTTAGGGATCCCATGAAAGTATTGGTTTGTGTGACCATCTGTCTTCAAGCTTTGACCCTTCCAGGTAATTGGCAAACAAAAAGCTGAAAAAATAAACGTTAACCTGTTAAACCTACTGCTGTATATACTCCGGTCCGGTCACATATTAAACCCGCTCTGGTCCGCTCACATGGTATATACTCCGGTCCATGATTCCCTGTGCCAGCCAGCGGCTACTGCAAGAGAGAGGTGAGGGTGGCCGACAACAGCTGGAAATCCTGGGAGCAATGGCATCATCCATAGACTACTTCCTATGGCCCATTTATTGTCCATCCTCTCCCCTGTAGCAACTGCTAGCTGACACAGGGGAGCCGGATCATGTGACCTGACCAAAGCAGGCTGAAAATAGGAAAGTATACACATCTGTCTTACACAGGGCCGTGGGTAAGGGGGGTACCACCAGTCCTCCTGTATGGGGCCCAGGCCAGCAGGAAGGCAGCTGAAAGCTGGCTTCTTCTTCTCTCTCTCCTGCTGACTTTCAGCCAACTTCCCTACAGTAGGATCTTTCAGGATAGGAAGTGGGGAAGGGTCCAGTAAATATGTCACATGTACCAGCCCCTTCCTTTTCTGAATGAACAAAATGAGTGATTGATACCGATCACTCACTGTGTTTATTCAGAACCAAAGCATAGGAAACTGTTTTTTTTTTTTTTTGGGGGGGGGGGGGGGCTGTCAGGTTGGCTGTATGGGGCCCTGTGGTCACTAACAGCAGCCCTGGTCTTACACAGGTTATTAGTCAGCATAGGTGTCAGGACGAGGGAGGGAGTATTCTTAAGACTAGTTAAGTGGTAGCCTAGAATTCTACTTTAATGCACAAAAGTGAATGGTTTAGCCCCAAACCACTTTTTTATCACTACTTTCCCTTTTTTTGTTTATTAAAAACAACAAACGGAATAATGTGAGGGTTAGATTTATTTTTATTATATATATATATATATATAAAATGACACACACACTTTTTTTTAGAGATCTATACTTCTATACATAAAGCCAAAAAGAGGGAGAACTGAGGAGGAAAGAGGAACAGAGGAATTTGGTTCCAAAACAAGGACAGTCCCTCCAAATACGGGACAGTTGGGAGCCATGGTTGATTGGCTTCCATTGCCACACTTTATCTGATTTTTTTTTTTCCTGAGTCTGTGGAAAGATCATATGAATACAGACTTTACATAGTTTGACTTGCAACATTTTAAAACACATTTAATGTTTTTGTAAAGTCTTTTTTATTAAAAAAATCATTTTGTAATTTTCAATCAAAATAAACTATAAGGTAAAAGATAGAAGTAGAAAATGAATTATTATCCTGATTGTATTCAGTCACAAAAGTGACATTATCAATAAGCAATGACATATCCTGTCACTCTTGAAGAATGTAAAAATGGAACACCTCTTTGTCTTAGTAAGGAAAACATGTTAAAGGTTTGTTTATTCTCAATAAAGTTATTCTTACCCAAGCTCAACTGCTGTGTCCAAGATTCACAAGCTAGAGACCAGTGCTCTGGCTAGGGCGGGTGTCAGCAACCCGCGGCTCCAGAGCCGCATGCGGCTCTTTTCCACCTTGGCTGCAGCTCCGGAGCACACTGCCCACCAGGTGACAGGCAATAGGGCAGCAATGGGCAAACTTCGGCCCGGCAGACCTTTTAATCCGGCCCGCGGATCTAGGCTCCTCTCACAACGTATCTGCGCATGTGCCGGAGATCGCCGATCGGCTGCTAATGCCTGAAACTGGCACATGCGCAGATACGTCGAGGGGGACAGATCCTCATAGGAGACAGATTTTCATGCTATACCGGAACGGCGCGGGAACACGGCGAAAGGAACGCGTGGAGCAAAGGTAAGTGAATTGACACAGGGGGAACTTGGGGACTTAATATGGGGGATGAATTACTATAGGGGGGATGAATTACTATATGGGGGATGAATTACTATATGGGGGATTAATTACTATATGGGGGATGAATTACTATGGGGATGAATTACTATATGGGGGATGAATTACTATGGGGGATGAATTACTATATGGGGGATGAATTACTATGGGGGATGAATTACTATGGGGGATGAATTACTATATGGGGGATGAATTACTATGGGGGATGAATTACTATATGGGGGATGAATTACTATGGGGGATGAATTACTATATGGGG